AGGAGTCGAGAGCGCATCAAGCTGGGGGCCTGGTTCCTGACCCCCAAAACGAAGAGCCAGCTGCAGGTGTGTCTCTGATACACGTACACCAAATGTATAAAGTGTGTGTATGTGTGTGTAAGGCCTTCCTGGGCCCTCCGTCATTTAAAGGTGCAGCCCATGCCACCCCACTTTGTCCCCCTTATGCCTCCTCCCTGCTCTGCTTGTCTCCCCAGCTCCAGACATTTGTGTGAACAGGATGTAAGGTTCACACGTTTGTAGGTGTCCCCGCTGTCCCCCAGGCAATCTGGGGTTTGGCTTCCCGCTGCTGAGCAGGACACAGGGGTCTGCGCCATCTCAGCACAGCGCCCCCAGAGACGGAGGCTGAGTAACGCAGCCTGGATGCCTTAGGCCAGTCCTCTCCAAGCTCGTGAGCAAATGCTTTGCCTCCTACAGGTGGCATCCATGAGGGCCTGTGGTGCTGGGAAACCCAGATGAAGGCATTCCCAGCACTGGACGGGCAGTGGCCTCACCACACCCTCCTCCACCCTGACTGCATGAGAAATGCTGAGGACACAACGCTGTACACCCAGGCGCCGGGTTCCCAACCCACACCCACCAGGTCTCAATACTGAGACTTGGGGTCTGGGCATCGGTGTATCTGAGAAGCCGCCATGCCCAGTGCCGCCTGGAAAGCTGAGCTCTTGGAGGGCGGGGGGTGTGCCTGACTCAGCTGGCACCATGCCTAGATCCAGCACCTCCCGTGGGGGCCCAGCTCTGCCCACACCCTAAACGACCTATTTCTGTCCTGTCTGTGCTGTACACGTAACAGTCCCCAGGCCCTCCGTGCTGTGAAAGCAGCCCATATCCATTTAGCAGCGTCCCAAACAAACAAGCATATTTTGAACCTTCCCAGGCTGTTATGGAAACAAAGGAAAAAAACACACACTTTTTTTTTTCTCTTCTCTGCACACAGTCCCTGGGGTCTGAATTAGACAAATCTCAGCATCTTTAACACCTTCCAGGAAAGGCCATGTTTCTCACGCTAAAATCAAGAGCAACATTGAGATAGGGCAGAAATAACAGGCCCAGTGAACGTCCTCAAAATGTCACTGATGACATCCAGCCCTGAGCTGTGAATGGCAGTGATGGTGCTACAGAGCTCGCTATGTGCTTAGAATGTTCTGGAAGTTATCCTGACCGTGAGGTTTGTCCTATCTAGCTCCAGCAAGCCTGACCTGCCTGCTCCCCAAACACGCCCAGTATATTTAGCCTCAGGACCTTGGCCCTGGCCAAATCTTTCCCCCAGATTGTCAAGGGTGCTCTCCAGGTCTCAACTCCAGTGTCCTGTGCTTTAGAATCCTGGTCTAAAGTGGTTACTCAGCCACAGGCCAGCTCTTCTCACAGCGCTCATCGGTAGATGAAGCCCTCTTTCATTTGCTGTGGGGTACGGCTCATCTCTCTGACACTGGACTTTATGCTACGTAAAAGTGGGGTCTGTATCTCTCATTCATAAGGTCCAAGAACGGTGCCTGGCACATTGTAAGCTCCACGACTTGCTAAACAACCTGGAAGTTCACCGGCTAGGAGAGCCAGCCCCCCTGGGCCCTGCCGATGAGAATATGGTTCCTGTGAATGTGGAAGGTTTTATCAGAAAGGCAGCATGGGGAGGTGACCTTGTCAGAGGGCCCAGACGTAGCACCTCGCTTCCCCAGGGATGATGCTAAACCTTCTCTCAAGCTGTCCTGTTACACACGGGTGCAGGGCTGCACCTCAGAAGGGGAGGAGGCATATTGTCACAGCATGGCCTCCTTACTCTCAGAAACACTGTCATCAGTCACAAAAGAGGGAACCAGCCAGGTGTCTCAGAGCCTCCTGAACTCCTCTGGGCTATGTGACCTCCACATCACGTCCCTCTCTCCTCCTGACTTTAAACAGATGGAAGTTTCAGGGAAGACCTGGGCAGTGTGCCTCTGACTTGTTTGGAACTTGATTGCAAGTCCTCAATGTTGAGGCCTGGCTATGGCTTGAGGCTTCTTGAGGTCTCTAGGACAGGCCAGGTTCAGAAGATTAAACTGTGGGACTAACAGGGCTGTTTGCCCATAGACAGACAGGTGAGAAAAAGACCTCCTCTTTGCTCATATCCAACCTGCTCCGGGGCACAAGGCCTGGCACACACCAGCTAGATTTCTTCCCCTTCTGTTTTTGCAACCAGGCACAGTTGTGCAGTGCACAACCTGCCCAACTATACACAGCAGCCCTGATATTGAACATCTGGGAGAGTAAACTGTAAGGATCTGGCAGGAATAGGTCGATGTCCCAAGGACCCAGGCCCAAGGCAGATTCTGGCCTGAGGCTGGAGAGGTCAGCTGTGGTCTGAGCCAGGCACAGCTGCCTCACTGACACGGGACAGCGTCTCCTCCATTTGTACATCAGGGTACGTGGGATTAAGTTGCCATCGTCTATCTGAGACGGGAAGTGCTGGACAGGGATGACCAGAGTGAGCCAGAAGGCCCCCAGGGGCTGCACCCACATCCTGTCAATGCCTCCTTCAGCATGTTTCAGCCAGCAGGGGAGGGGGACCACGCATGAGAAAAGTCATGGCCGTGTGGCTGCCAGCAGCAAAAGATGGAAACCAGCCTGTATGCCCATCTGAAGGGGCGCGGGGGGGGGGGGGGATGGTCAAATAAGCTATGAGGATTTTCACTGTTCCCAACTCCCCAGACCAGCCCACCCTGAGCCTCAATGCTCCTTAGCGAAGGGCGGTACTCCCAGGTGCTGTCCGGCGCGGTCTGCCAGCCCTCGCTGTCTGTCTCCAGGCAGGCGCATGTTCCCCCCACCTGCTCTTCAGACCTCTCCTTAGCCTGGCACCTGGGACACTCGGGGCCACTCCTGCCTCTGTTTTCTTCCTGGATACGGTCCCCACATCTTCCCACAGCCGGCCCCCTTCTCACCTTCAGCAAAAAAAATGTCACTTCCTCAGAGAGGCTCTCTTGACCACCCTGTCTAGGTCACTTTCCGTCACGTGGCTGTTTAATTTCATTCCTACCGCGTATCAACATTCAAACCACCTTGTCATGTTCTTACCTGTTGGCGGTTTCTCTCTCCCATAAGGGTGTCAGCCTCCGTGTGATGGGGATGGAATGTGCTGTGGTCACAGCTTTGTCCCCAGAGCGCAGGCACACTCCTGAAGACCCACTAAAAGCCTTCAGATCCGGGGAGAATTCTCCTACAAAAGCTGGAAACCAGTAGACTCCGCCCCCACAGAGGGCAACCCAGCAAGAAAGGACAAGAGGAAGCCAGGGCTATCTACGCCAGGCGCTGAATGTAAAGGGGGAATAAAGACTCACTTCTGAGTGTGTCTGGGAAATTCAGATTCTATAAAGAAGAGAGACAGGGGGACGTGGACCGGAGTTTACAGATGCCACATGCCAGGACCTGTGCTGAAGGCTTTAACCATGTCCTTTAATCCCTCCCATAGCCTCTGGGGTAAGGGCTGGTATACTCCTATATTTACAGCTGAGGAAACTGAGGCACAGAGAGGAGCCAGAGGCCTAGGTCACACACCACAAATCAGGGCTGGGATCCAGTTCTGACCCGAAAGCCCTCTTGGGATTGACATACAATGGAGGACTGTTCAGCAACAACAACAAAAAAATGACACATGTGACAATGACAACATGGATGAACCTTGAAAACATGATGCAAAGTGAAAGAAGCCAGACACAAAAGACCACATACTATATGATTCTATTTACATAAAATACCCGGAATGAGCAAATCCATACAGGCAGAAGGTAGATGAGGGGTTGCCAGGGGCTGGCAAAGGTAGGAAAATTGGGGGTGATGGCAAATGGGTGCAAGGTTTCTTTTGGGGGCGACAAAAATGTTGTGAAGTCGATTGCGATAATAGATGCAAAACGCTGTGAATATACTAAAAGTCATTGAATTGTTCACTTTGAATGGATGATTGTACAGTATATGAATTATACCTCCAGGAAGCTGTCTAAATAAAAAGATGAAAAGCTCCTTCAACTCAAGGGGGAGCCACCTGGTCATGACATGAGATGTCCCCAGTCACGGCTGGTGTCTGGGTCTGAGGAAGGATTCAAGCAGCGGGTCAGGCGGGTGCTCCATGGAGCCTGAGGGGACACCGGGACGCCCCCCGAGCTTCAACCCCCATCTGCTGGGCTCTCCTTGGGGTGGTACTGTGAGCCTGTACTCTGAGGCAATTACATCACCAGACCCAGGGGTTCAAGCCCCAGTCCTGCCTCTCCCTAGCTATATGACCGCAGACAAGTCTATTTTTCCTCTTGTAGCCACAGTTCTATTTAAAAAATGTAACTAGTAACAGTACCTTCCTGATGGGGTCGTGACGAGAATTAAATTAAATAATTCAGATAAAGTACCCAGCACAGCTCTTGAGCCACAGTAAATCCTTCCGAAATGTCAGCAATAAGAATTAACCATTCTAATTTCGCTATTCAGACAAATAACTGGTTTTCAATCATGAACAAAGGTCTCTGTCCCTCAGACACCTGGCTTGCGGTTTCTGTTCATGCAAAACTTGAAGGGGAGCCAAGCTGCGGGGAATGCTATGTGTTGGCAGGAACTTTCCAGAAAATCAGCAAGCCTGAGTCAGCTTGTCCCCCAAATCGTCAGGCTGAGGGGTCATCAGACATAAGGTAAATTCTCCGACAAAAGCAAGGGTCCAAAAGATTCCAGTTCTACTGAGGACAACCCAGGAAGGAGGACTAGACCCAGCCTGAGCCATCCGAGCCAGCAGAAACTTCTGGGGAAACTTCTAGAAAAAGAGGCTAACTCGCCTGACGACGGCCTTTTTCAGAAATGGTTCCAGGATGTCCAGACGGGGACAGAGCGATGGAGCCCAGGCCTGCTTGAGCCTCTCTGTCCAGAGGAGGCCGTGAGGCTCCTCTGAGGGTCCCTTGTGACTGTGGGTCCAGGCTTATCTCATGCAGCAGAGCGAATGAGGACACAGTCTGCATCTGTGCCACACTCGCCTTCTCAGCGAGGGGCCCCAGGGCGTCCAGCTCTGTGTAGGAGGCCTCCCTCAGCACACAGGCCTGGAAACTCTGCAGACAGATCAGGCGGGAGGCCCGGCCCGGCTGCTGGGCCATGTGGGGAAAGGTGGGGGGCTCTGGCCGGGTCCTGGCTGTGATGGAACCCAGCTGGCACCCATGACACCAGCAGCAGGGCCAGGGCTGGGGGCTCGGTCAGCCACATCAGGGCTTCCGAGCCTCCCTGCCTGGGCTGTAGCAACAGCAGCCCAAGCAAAGGCTGATGGAGGTGGGAGGACATGGGAGGCAAGAAAGCCCAGCAAACAGTAACCCCAAGGGGAGTAGTGAGAAAAGCTCGGTTTGAAAATGAAAGACACCCGTGGGCACAGCCCTGCATGAGCCTCTGGATGTTAGGACTCTGTATAACAGTAATGTTAACAGTGATCATCTCTATCCTTATACACTTTCATTGGCAGGAAGCAGGGGGAGTGGGGGGGGGGAGAGGAAAAAGAGGGGGAAGAGAGGCGGGAGGGGAGAGCAGGAGGAAGGGACCAGAAGGAGGAGAGGAGAGGCGGTAGGAGGGAAAGAGAGGGAGAGGCGAAAGGAGAGGGGTGAGGAGGAGAAATGGGAGGAGAGGCTGATGAAGGAGGGAAGGCAGGGGAAACGATGCACGATGGGTGGGGCTTAGGGCAGCAGGGCGGGGCTTAGGGCAGCAGGACGGGGCTTAGGGCAGCAGGGCGGGGCTTAGGGCAGCAGGGCGGGGCCTGGGAGCCCAGGGAGCCCCAGGCCAGCTCCTTGACCTTGTGCAGCCAGCGGTGCTGCTGATAGCTGGTGGGACACCTGCCCACGAAGTCCATCTGGGCGAGCGGCCAGGTCAGCCCCTGATCCCCTCTGCTCCCCTGACTTCTCTCCAGGCTCTGGCCTCACCTCCTGAAGGACAAGGGCTCCCAGGTAGTCCTGTACCAGGCTCAGCCCCAGGCTCAGCATCACAGCCCTCACTTCAGGCCCAGCAAGGTTCAGCGTGGGGGGGGGGGCACAGCGGGCCATGCCACCATGGAGCAGGACCAAAGGAGCGGAACCTGGCTCAGGGCGAGCGCTGCAGGCAGGAGACCAAGGCCCCAGGCCACCTCTTCACTGTCAGGGTCACAGCATCCCTGCCCCTCCGGCAAAACTCCCTCCTGTAGGCCAGCCCCCACAGGAAGCACCCACAGGAAGTACCCCCACAAGCTCCCAGACGGCCTTTCTCCCTCCTAAGCTGGGCTCTCCAGCAACTTCTGAATCAAACGGCACAAGGGCAGCCTACTCTGCTCAAAGCCGCCCCCAGCCTTGTCACCGCTTGGATAGAAAGTACATGTGTGACCCCAGCGTGAAAGAAATCCTAAGGAGCTGAGCTGCCAAGGGCTTCTGTGTTCCAAAGCTCTCATTTCCCCAGTCCACCAGGGAGGAACTTAGCAACCCCCCACCCACCTTACAGATGAGGAAACTGAGGCACGGAGCAGTAAAGAGATTTGCTCAAGGCCGCAGCTGGGATTTGATCCCAGAGAGGCTGGCTCCAGTGCCACCAGTCTGAGACACCCTGAGCTGGAAGTGACCTGAGACCTCAACATTGTGCAGAGGAGGAAATGCAGCTCAGAGAAGGGGCGCTACTGGACAGACTCACACAGCAAGTCAGGGAGGAGCTGGGACCAAAATTCAGCTCAGGGCTCTGCCGGCCACCCCTCACCTGGCAGAGAAGAGCCTGTGTCTAATATCTGCCCTATGACAGGATGGGGCTGGGGAGGTGAGGAACGGTGACGTCCCCGCCTGTGTGCATGGGGCAGAAGAAAGAAGTGCCCCACGATGAAAGGGAAACCGCCGAGGCCCCGAACCTCACCAGCCAGCCAGCGAGGCAGAAGCTTGAGGGACAAAACTGCCCCCTACTTGTCCCTCTCGGGAGGTCACTGCCCCCTCTCCAGCTCTAGCTGGAGTCCTTCTGGAGGCAGCCCCCTGGGTCTAAGGCCTGGAGCTGGAGAAATGCTAATGGCGCCCGCCCCTTCCAGAATAACATCAGTCTGGCCTGAAGGATCTGACACCCTGCCCACGGCCTTAGCATTTCTGATGAGGAGCCCAGGGACAATAGCCCTTGCTATCCCCTCGGAGGAGACCTCCCGGAGCCTTTCAGGGAGCCTTTCAGCGGGGCTCCATCTGCCCCTGGGTGAACCCCAGCCATCCCTGTAGCCCGCACAAAGGCTTTATTTTTTAAACAAATGAATTTGCAATAAAAAGGGAAGAGGAATCTGTGAAGATGGACTTGTCCTCAGGCTGGTGGCTAGGCTGAGCTTTGAGGCCACCCGGGGCCAGTGTCAGGGAGGCCTGGGAAACACGCCAGCGGCAGAATTCCAGGCTTGGCTGGGTCACAGAGAGGGGCTTAGCTTGGGAAGGGAGCAGCCGTGGGTCTCCAGGAAGACCTCCATCTCAGCAGAGAGGGAGAGGGGAGAGAGACAAACCTCCACAGTGCCCATCATCTTCCAGAATGTTCTCAAGGACAATGCCCAGAGGGTGCTTGGCAGACATAAAAGCTGGACATGCTGGGGGTGACAGGCAGGGGGATATGGGGGGACGTTCTGCTACCAGGTAAGGGAAGGCCACCTGAGGCTATTCGGAGTCACTAAGGGCTCCTACGTCATGACAGCTCCCCACCGTCTTTACCAATGGTCTGGTCTATGTGCTCAACACGGCTAAAACTTAAAGATGGAACTTCTCTTTGAACGTCAGTCCAAGATGGCATCTTTGTAGTGCGGGGCATCACCCTACCTGGGTTCTTCCGATCTAACTTGGGGCCCCCTTGCCCGGCAGCCATTGGAAGAGGGTACGGGGCTCATCCATGGGTGCAAGTCCCAGCGTCTTACATCAAACTCTCTGGCTCCTTCAGAATCGCAGCCTTGTCCCCAGGATGGACGCCACCAGAGGTCTGGAGCTGGAGCGCTGTGAGTTGGTGACCTCTCCTGGGATATCCCAGGATCATAGCTGCACCCCCACCTGCAAGGCAGCTCTGGGGCCCAGCATGATGCACGTTGGGGACTAGGCAGAGAGATCCCCCCTTGAGCAGACGGTTCTATTGTCTGACTGGTAGACACTGGATATCTCCAGGGGTAAATAATTTCAACAGCCAGGCACCTACTGTTCCCTGCTAAGTATTCAGAAAATTTTCGTTAGCTTTTCATTTTGCCCAAAAAGGCCCTAGGCGTTTGGGTGAGAGGTTCATACGGCTCTACACTATAAAGAAAAATATGTTACAATTGCAAAGCAAACAAAAAAAGGCTTTGTCCTGCATGAATAAAAGGCTCGGGTGTCCCATTATCACCACGGTTGTCTCAATAACACCAAATACACACACATATACATATATGTATATACTTATTGCAAAAGGACTTTCTCAAGATGAAAAATAAAATCACCCCTAAAACCTAAAAATCACCCTAACATGACTGATTTCACTTTTTTTGATAGACTACTTCTAGAGCAGTTTTAGATTCACAGCTATAATGAGGGGAAGGTACAGAAATTTCCCATACACCCCCCACCCATCTCTCCCCCCACACACACCCTCCTCCATTATCAGCATCTCCCGTCAGAGTGGGACATGTGTTATAATTGACGAACCTTCACTAACACGTCATTATCACCCAGAGTCTATAGTGGATGTGAGGGTTCACTCTTGGGTTGTGCATTCTGTGGGTTTGGACAAATGTATACTGACGTGTAGCCACCATTTTGGCATCACACAGACTAGTTTCACTGCCCCACGATTTCATTTTTTCAAAGCCAACTAATGCTCCTTCATCTTGTCTACAGCCCAATTCCTCTGACTTTTCAAAAGCAGCCCCCCCCCATCACTTCCATCACAGGATCTGCCATCTCCCTAGTCATCCAGGCTTGACATCTTGGGGTGAAATACAGTTTGACTTGGCAGTGAGCTGCTGTCCTGGACAATGAATGTCTCAGCCATGTTATCAATACCACTTATTGTCTGGCCACTTGCTTGAAAGCTAGCCATATCCCTGTATTCCATATGTTCAAACAGCTAAATAGGGACATGGAAGATTTTTTTAAAAACCTACTGAACCATACACTTAAAAATGGTTAAAAGGGTAACTTTCTATTACATGTTTTTTTACAATGAAGAGCTACTTAAAAAAAAAAAAGAATCAAGTTCTGATATATGTTATTATATGATGTGGATGAAACTTGAAGACATTCTATATACTACGTGAAAGAAGCCAGACGCTAACACTCACGTACTGATTATAATAAGTGATTACACGTATATGAGGCAAATTCACAGAGACAGAAAGTAGAACAGATGTTACAAGAGGCTGGGGCGGAAAGACGAGTGCGGAGTGAGCGTTTAAGGGCACAGTGCTTCTGGTTAGGATGGTGAACAAGTGCTAGAGATGGATAGTGGTGATGGTCACTCAACATTAGGAATGTACTCAATGCCACGGAATGGTCCACTTAAAATGGCAACTGTTTTACATTATGCATATGTTACCACACAAAAAAAGAAAAAGAAAAAGAAGCCAGACACGAAAGCGGACATCCTGTGTAATGCCACCAAAGAGAAGTAGAAGGACAAGCAAAACTGGTCTGTGGCGCTAGAAGTCAGGAGGCCCTTTGGAAGAGGTGGCCAGCAGAGAGAAGGTGGGAAGCTGTAGGGGTTACGTGTGGTGTCTCCATCGGGCGGTGACTGTACAGGCATGTTCCGTTTATGAAAAGCCATTGTTCTGAATACTTATTTTCACACACGCAAATATTTGATTGCCCCCTGGGTGGCTGTAAAATTTCCATTTTCACTGAAAAATCTCCAAAACAAGCCAACTCTTTCTTCTCGTGCCAACAGTTGACATTACTGAGTTTTTTAATGCTAAAAACAAAGCAAACAAATGAATACAACTGCAGTGGTACATGAGCCGCTTTGTGGAAACTGGCCCTGCAGAAAAAGAACCGCCAGCGTTTTGATGGGCATGAAAGGACAGCAAAGACCCTAACAAAGGGGCAGCTCTGACCAGACATTTTGGACGGCTGAAGGCTTTAGAGGCAGCTCAGACCCACCCCATGAAAAACCCCAGCTTGTGAACTAC